TAGGTTCCAACTCATAGTGACCCTTCAGTCAAGTAGGTTCCAACTCATAGTGACCCTTCAGTCAAGTAGGTTCCAACTCATAGTGACCCTTCCTTTATAGGACTTTCAAGGAATGGCTAATGAGTTTGAACTGCTGACCTAGCAGTCAGCAGTCCAGAGCTTATCCTACCCTACAGTACTTAGCTATCAAAAAATTATAGAAGAAACCAGAGACATTTATGGAAAAAAATATATCCAACTCAAAAATTTTATTTCAGAAATTAACAATAGTCACTGAAACTGGTTGAAAACTAGTTAGAATCTAATAGATTTGAAACAATTTGTTCTCTTCTAGTTATGGCCTTTACTTGGCTGGCATCAGCTCTAGGGTTTTAGTGATATAGGAAAAAGAAAGGAGACAATAATTATATCACTGCTCCAAATGTACTGTTTCTTAGAGCACAGAAAGATGCCAAAAAGACTAAGGGAGCACATTAATATTTAATGAAACCAGTTCTAGTAGAAACTTGCCATAGGAGAGATTTATTCATTGTATAAATGAACTAAAAAACAAGGTTTTGGCACAGAAAGATCTACTTGACTTTATTTATGATGTCAAGAAGTTGTCAATCAATATGTGAATAGTTAGAGGTAGAAGGATTGCCATTTTGATTGTCTTTAAGAACAAACAAAAATTTCTTTGTGTTTGCTTAAGAGTAACACTTTGCTGCCTGTGTCAATGAAATCACACCAGATTTCTCTATTCATGGTTGCAAATTAGTTAACTATTCAATGAAATGATACACTCATTATTTTATTCTGCTTTATGATGGATTTCATTTTACATTTTATAGGAAATAAAAGGTGACTGTAATTTGTGTTTAAAAAAAAAGGAAATCATAGAAATGCACCATTTTGACCAGCAAAATTTTACTAAACAATCTCAGCAAATTTCAGTAGAATATGCCTTTTAATTTTATACTCTTTTAATTTCAATAAACACAATATAATTTACGGATTAAAATGGCTTTCTTTTAACTTGACAGAAAAATACTACACACATAATTTCTGAGCAGAGAGAATGAGGTACAGGGAGCAGGACTTTCTCACTGCTGTACTTCATTTTTAAAGTAAATACAGTACCAATCATCATTTTGATTCTAATGAATAAAAGTTTTAAATGCAATTTATTAACCATTTTTGAAGTCTGAAACCAAAACAAACCCTTAACAGTATTGCCTGAAGATACAAGTCAAGTCTAATACATTAATCACTACGCAAAGTTTTGGTCAAATCAGAGTAGCTCTCTCTGTTACCAAGATGTCAGAGTTTGTCTTTTTGTTCAGTTTCAATTTGCCATAACAACCAAGGATAAAATTACATATAAATAGAAGTATACAGGACTTCATGAAATTGAATATGGGAGATTAAGCATTTTTAAAGTCTGTGTAATTCCTTTTGCAACACAAGTTCTGCTGCATAATTCACAATGGTCTAAAAACTTTTCAGCAACAAATTATATTAAAAAAATATACTATCATCCTGATATGTTACATACTTGTAGATACCAACCATTTAAACCTTTTATTAGCTTAGAAAAGTAAAACTTTTCCCTGAAAATCTCTAGAAAGTTTCAGTCACAGCTGTCCTGAACTAACTTTCATAATCAGCAGTAACTATATTTTGTAACTTCTTTATTTGAATATAGCAAAAATGGTGATAATAATTATTTTCTTTAAATAGAGGCTGGAGAGGGCCTAAATCCAAATAGTGGATTTTTATGTTCGTTTTTAGTTGTGAAGCATCCATTTATATTGGTGAAACAGTTGAGAAGAAAGAAACTGTCGAACTTGCCAAAACTATTTTAGTTCTATAGGCTTCTGATCCCAACTAAAACAACAATGATACACAAACTTAGATATAAAGAATTCAGTCCTTATAAATGAAAACACACATAATAAATATGAAGGAGGTGTACAAGGAACTTCATGTTTTGAAATATTCAAGTGTAATGCTTCTGTAAAAGACATTTCAACTTTACCAGATGTACTAATTTCCATTGGTTCCTAACCTGAGCTGCCAAAGAGCCCAATGGTCACGCAGACAGAGATGATTTATCAGTGGGAGAAAGAGCAAGGATATCATGGCATTCATCCAAATGATATGAGACTCACATTTGTATCCCTGAAGTAAGAATGGCCACTCACTCCAACTAAATTGCTCTATACTAAAGCAGCATTTTTTGTGAAGAATTACTTCAAATCCATATTCTTTGACCACTAGAGTTATTGATCAAAAATTAAAAAAAAAAAAAAAAAGACCAAATCCATGTACCCGTGGATCCTTAAAAATCCTAAGATGTAGAAACATTCTTAGCTGTGACCAAGAATTATATTGGAATGAACCAAAGACATCTTTTAAAGTAATTTTAAGTATATTCTTATTTGTTATTACAATTCTACATAGATTATTTAAATTGCTTATGGACATAATTTAATCGATAATATATTATGACAACCACTAAGGTGATCCAGAATCCGATTCCATCTACAGAGGGAGCTTAATTATTAAGCAAGACCTTCCTAAAAAGCTTCAGTATTTCTGATTGGTAGGAAAAACACAAAAAGAACATCTCTCACTGAAATAACACTGAAGTTCAAGCTCAGGCTCCTCTCTTTGTGTTCAACATAATTAATTCTCCAGGATAAGATAATGAAACATTTAGTCACATTAATAAATTACAGTCATCTTCAAGAAAATTCTATGGGTAACTCTGGTGTTACAGTCGTATATCTTGGATCCAGCCTGGGAATGAAATCCTGAAAGTGTTTAGATGCACCAGTATCAAAAACATCAAGAACTTTTCTGTTCATGACGGCAAACCTGTAAAACAGAAGAGACAGTCAACAAATTCTTAATGAAAGTTAAAAAAATAAAATAATTCATACTAACTGACTTACGTTTCGTGAGCCAGGAAAAAAGGCCAATATGGTATAAGACCTAAAGTCAACTACTGATTCAGAAGTCATACAGACATGCTTCCTCAAGATTCACTGTACCATATTTTATTTAATGTCAAAATCCCCAGGACTGAAACCTCAGATATCACCATCATTATTTTAAATATTTTTAGAGTTATTTCTACTAGATTGTGTCACACAGAACAAGTTCATTACAATTTTTGTGATGAATGGAATCACAGGACACTAACTAAAAACAATGGGGCAAAAACTCTCAAAGACTGTATTCCGAGTTGACAAACATGCCACATTTTAGTTCTAAGATTTTTTGGAAAATGTAAGTTAAATTAATATCAAAATTGGCATCATAATATTTCACAATTAAAAGAAAGCACATCCAAATGTGTATATATTTAACAATTATAAGGCAAATTGTTAAGTGCTGTTCCGTCAGTTCTGACCCATAGCGACCCTGTATAGAGTTTCTGAGGAGTGGCTGGTGAGCTTGAACCGCCGACCTTGTAGTTCAAACTGACTTTGCAGTCCAGTGCATTAACCCACAGCACCACACCAGGACCCCAATAACACACAGATTTTCAAATTTCTAAGACTCAACAGAGTAAGGTTAGGTTTAAATTAGACTTACAGTGCTATGTAGCAACTAATTATCAATTAATAAAATGATTTTAATCTAGATCACTTCAAATAGCTCAAATACTACATAGAACAGAATAGTAAAATACTTTTATTAAGTTTATCATATTTGATTCATAGCTCAGTATCTACTTTACCATAGAAAGTTCGTCATATTTGATTCATATCTCAATATCCACTTTACCATAGAAAGAACAGTCCCTCACGAAAACAAAAAGTTTCACAATCATTTTATAGAAACTGCTTCTTTTTCTATGATTGGTTCAAACACCGTAATTGAAAGCAACGACTCAAAATGACACATGTATATCAATGTCCATTTCAGCATCATTCACAAAAACTGAAAGATGTACAACTCAAGTACCCATCAACAGATAATAAACAAAACCTGTACGGGCATAGTGTATACAGGTACACCGAGGCAGGCCAAGTGCCATCAAATCAATTCCTACTCACAGTGACCCTGCTATAGGTTTGCTGTGGCTGTAAATCTCTGCAGGACCAGACAGCCTCGTCTTTCTCCCACAAAGCTGCTGGTGGGTTTGAACTGCCAGCCTTGCAGTTAGCAGTCCTGTGCTTATCCTTCAACACCACCAGGGCTCTTTGTATATGGGTACAGTGAGATATTATTTGGCTGTACAGAGAAATGAAATCCTGATTCATGAAATCCATACGTGGGTAAGCACTGAAAACAGGATGAGTGAAGTAAACCAGACACTGAAGGAGCCCTGGTAATGTAGTGGGTTACAAACTGGGCTGCTAACCTCAAGGTCAGCAGCTTGCTTCTGCCAGTTGCTTTCTGGGAGAAAGATGAGGCTTTCTGCTCCCATAACGATTTGGAGTCCTGATGTAGCTTTGTAGGATAAGCACTGGACCACGAAGTCATCTGAACCACAAGGTTGGCGTTTCAAACTCACTAGGCACTCCTTAGAAACCCTATGCAGAGTAGCTATAAGTACAATACAACTCAATGGCACTTAACAACAACAACAAAGACAAATATTGTATGATCCTACTTATATATCTGGAAACAGGTGTATCTATCAAAACAAAAGAAGACTGGTGATTACCAGGGGGATGAGAAAGTGGGAGTGGGGAAAATCATCACAATGACAACTTAAAATTGGTGAATTTTGAATCAGATTGCAAAGTCATTTGAACTGCAAGGTTGGTGGTTCAAGTTCACCAGCTGCTCCTTGGAAACTCTATACAGGGTCGCTATGGGTTGGAAATGACTCAGCAGCACTTAACAACAACAACAACAAAAGATTTCAAAACAAGGAAATGCATGCTACATAAAACAAAAACACCATAATCACTTACTTGCCCTTAGTGAGCCTTAGAAGGAACTTCCAGTAAGATGGCCGCAAAGTCTGCACTTCCATAACAGCCTGAGATTCAAACATTGAATTGGAGACTTACTTTACTAGACAACATTATCAGCAGTTTTAGCCAACAGATTAAGTTCTAGCTGTATTTTTATTGCTCATCGTATTTTTAAAATGACAGCTATTGCAATGATATATTTATGCTTAAGTCATTAACTATCAAGAAACTTTGTAAATATACTTTCAAATATAAATGTTACTTTTAACATAATATTTAGTAGTCATTACTATCAGGACATATTTACTCATGGCAGACATTTCACCAGCTATGAGTTTTCAAATTGGCAGTGTTATTGTGAGAAAGCAAGTAAAAGCTGCTCCAAAAACTTTGCAAGCATCTTAAAATTATTAATGATGATGATTACAGAGTTTAGGCAGAATGAAAATACTTTTATTAAACAAGATCTCCCCTCTCCCCCTTCCTCATACCCTACGCAAAACCCAGGAAATAAAACTGTTCTTATCTATGCCCGTGGCATCTTTTATCTGGAAGAAAGATAGTTAAATCGGGGCAGTCTACCTCAGGTATGGAGCACTCATTTACATAAGATGCACTCTAATTTAAACCTACAGAGTGGTATGTTCATAAAACAAGACCGGGCCCATTAAGTTAACATGTTCTTCATGGATTTGGATTTGAAACAAAACAAAAATAACATAAAATGTAATAAACATAAATGTTTCCAGGTTTTTAGTCTTCTATTGATTGGTTTAATGCACATTAGAAACAAATATAACTATCTTATTTCAAAAGGCCTATACTATATACTTACTGCCTGGAAGCAGATAGCAGTAGAGATGGAATAGATGATAGTATCTGCATGGGGAAAATAGGGAACCTTGCCTGCTTCAATGCCTTTGAAATACATTGTCTGTAAAACAAGTTCATACAAGATTTACAAAGAAAACAATTTTAAGTACTATTAACAATATACCTGAGCAATATTTTTTTTTTCTACCTTTCCAAATTCTAACAACCCTTCAGAGCTCAAACCCTGTCTCATTACCATGACAGCATTTAATGTCAACCCCTCCTTTATTTCCTTGCTCCTAACCCCAGCTGAAAGTAGTAACACTAAGCTGTTACTTCTAACCCTTTGATGTCATTTATTCCCTGGTGCCTTTTTATAGTGTTTAAGGTTTACTCTTTCATTCACTCATTCATTAATTTAATAATGTCAACCACATGCTGGGCACTGTACTTAGAGTGAGGGATTAAAAGTGAATAAAACCTAGTTAATGTATTACAGTAAGGAGCTCTGGTAACGTAGTGGTTACAAATTGGGCTGCGAACCGCAAGGTCAGCAGTTCGAAACTACCAGCTGTTCCGTGGGAGAAAGATGAGGCGTTCTGCTCTGGTAAAGATTTACAGCCTCAGAAACCCTGCATAGGGTCGCTGTTGAGTTGGAACCGACTCCACAGCACATAACAACAACGACAACAATGTATTACAGTAATTACCAATATACTCTGATGAGGGCTCTAACAGTGGTATGCGCGAGCACGTGCATGCAGGTGTCCAAGTAGACTGTCTTTAAAACCTACTCCAGTCCAGGGTACTCAAATATTTATTGAGTGAATATGATGTTTAATAATAATACGTCCTATGATTTACATAAAAAATCTCCATATAAGTTACCATATACAAAAAGAAAAGTAACAAAGAAATGATGAGAATATATTACCTATGAATCATTAAAAAGTATATAATGAAAAGTAGCATAGTGGTTGTTGAGTCGGGCTGCTAATCTCAAGGTCAGCAGTTTGAAACTACAGCTGTTCCATGGGAAAAAGATGAGGCTTTCCGTTCCCGTAAGGATTTACAGCCTCGGAAACCCTGTACAGGGTCGCTATGAGTCGGAACCAACACTACAGCACATAATCACCACCATCACCAATATGTAAAGTAGGGTGCTAGGGCTTAGGATACATATGAATTGTAAAATATGAACAAAGTTATAATATACTTAGGAAACAAGATAAACATGTGGGACATGTTCTATTTCAAAATATGAAACATTATTTTGAAAATAATGTAACAGTAGCTAATGAGCTACATAAATGCTGGAGTGGATTCATGTTGAAGAAAATATAATTCAGATGTGACAGAATGGCACACCATAGAACTGCATATGAAACAGGTATCTGAAAAATGAGCCAATTGTATCTACTGAACCAGATCGTAAGCTAATGACGGTCACAGATGATATCCTAACTACTCTATGTTTACTAGCACCTAGCACAATAATAAGAATACAATAATCACTCAAGAATTACATATATTTGACTTATAAGTTTCTAGTTTTTATATATTTATCATGTAGTAGTAAAGCAGCATTTTAATATAAAATTAACTTCAATTACAGAAATACGATTTTCTATTGCACTGTTGTTGTTAAGGGCCATCGAGTCGGTTCTGACCCATAGCGACCCTGTATAGGGTTTCCGAGGAGTGGCTAGTGAGCTTGAACCGCTGAACTTGAAGTTCAAATGACTTTGCAGTTTGGTGCATTAACCCACAAAGCCACACCAGGACTCCTTCTATTGCATGGCAGGCATTAAATCCACAAATGGACAAGGTGAGCTTAAATTTCTATCCTGCTTCAAGCCACAATCTCCAGTCTGTGAGTAACTAAATTACTGAGCTTCTAGTCTTGCCTCCTTGTAATCCATTCTCCATTAAGAGCCAGAATGTTCTTAAGATGTCCATTTCCCTGCTTGAAACTCCAATGGTTTCTACTTGTTCTGTAAACAAATTCAAATTCCTTACCCTCAGCTTTTACAATCTTACATGACTTGGTTCCTCTCAAAACCCTTCTCTTTTTCTCTCATCCTCCTTTTATTTTATCTGTTTCTCACACTGGTGCATAAATATATACACAAACACATTTACTTGAGTAAAGCAAATTCTGTTAATGTCGTTGTTGTTGTTAAGTGTTGTCAAGTCAATTCTGACTCAGAGACTCTATAGGTTTTCCAAGGGGCAATTGGTAGATTTGAACCACCAACCCTGTGGTTAGCAGTCCAGTGCTTAACCTATAACGCCACACCAAGACTCTGTTAATGTCATTAGGAACAGAGATTTTAAGTGTGAAATCACTTTTTCAAAAATCAAACAAGTATCATGTTGTCTAGAAAGGTCTAGTGAAAGGAGATGAGGATAGGATTCTTTTGATTCAATAGTAGGTAAATGTTAGCGTCACTAATTGTGATGGTCACAACTGTAAAGATAGAAGTTCTGCAACATAAAGGGGGGAGTAGTTAATCTTACATTCCAGGAACAGAGAACCCTAGGACCAGCAAGAGAGATCAGCAGGAGCAGAATGTGGGACCCTCACCAGAGCAGTTAAGGACTCTAGACTCATGGAAAAAGAAAGGCTATGTGCTGGAGGCCAGGAGGCAGGCTTGCAGAATGTGCCCTTTGGTTGTTTAAATGATTATATATTCCTGAGTGTTTATGTGTACATCAAAAAAAAAAAAAATCAGAGGGAATAGAAGCAAATACTGTTAACCGATGAAGATTGCATAGAAGATTGCAATCATTGCAATGAAACAAAATATAATAGGTTGAATGCAAAACTGATGTTCTCCCAAAAAACTATCACTCAATTCACAACAGAAGCTTTAAAAAAAAAAAACAAGCAAGTCAGAAATCTGAAGCCTAGAGTTGCTCGGGGCTGTGCCCCTCTGGCATGACAAATGACCATTTGTCAATTCTCCTTTCCAGACTGGTACTGGAATGAATATCCTGCCACCAGGGGCATGGGTGAAGGAAAGCAGCAACCTCAGTAACAGCCCTTCTGGGGTAACAGGAGTAGATAGAATGGCACTAGTGATAGACACTCCAGTGTGATCCAGCCATCTGGCTTTCCCAAATCTGTGTCATGGTGGGGGGTAGAAACCAAGGGAAGCTGTCAGTAGGTTCTTATGAGTGTGGAACATCAGCTAGCAGTAACAGCAGAGAGTTAGGCTTGTCTCTGAACTCATTTGCATCACTTAACTCTAAAGAACATCATGATGAAAAGAAACTTCTGGAAGTAATTGTAAAAGATATAGAGGTTTACGAATCATCAGAGCAGTGGACGTTTTCTGCTTATTCACCAATGAAAGATGAACCTAACATGTCAGGCATTTATTGCCTGAAATTCCCAACAAAGATGTCAGAAAACTAGTATTAAGGTGTCTCAATGACATAAAGGAAAACAAGGAAAAATTTTTAGAAGAATTCAGGAAAACAATTCAAAAACAAAACAAGAAACTTAATAACAAGATAGAAACATTAAGTAAAAAAAAACAACAACAACAACTAGAAATTCCAGAGTTTAATAATAAAATAACAGAAATAAATGACTCCATGGAAGAACATGAAAATAGAATGAAACAGAGAAGAATGCTATAGAAAATAAAACCCTTGTGATTACTCCATATGAAGAACAAATAGGAAAGAAAATTAAAGCAAGCATACAGATTCTGTGAGACACACCAAGAGGAACATGCACAAGGGGAATTCCAGATGAAGCAAGGAAAAGAAGTTCAGAAGCAAGTTTTAAAGAAATAATGGCATAAAACTTCCCAAATATCCTTAAAGAAGAAGAGATTTTCATCCAAGAAGCTCAACAAACTCCATATAAATTAAACTCTAAGAGAAAAACACTAGGACACATAACTGAACTTTCTAGAAACAAAGATAAAGAAAGACTTTTGCGAGCAGCACAAGATATATGAAGTATCACCTACAAAGGGGCTCAATAAGACTAAGTGCTGATTTATGCCCAGAAACAATGTAGGCAAGAAGAGAATAGGGTGACATGCAGAGTCTTGAAAAAAACGAACTGTCAACCAAGAATAATATATCCAGCAAAATTGTCACTCAAAAACGAGCATGTAATTTGGACATTTCTAGACAAAAATTAAGGGAATTTATAACTACCAGAACAACCTTATAAGAAATATTAAAGGGTGTCCTCCAGAAAAAAAAAAAATTAACTAGACCAGCCAACCAATCAAAGCATTGCCATTTAACAACCACCTGAATACATATAGCAACAACATTAACTTAAAATGATATTACAGGGGACCCAGGAGGCAAGAGTTGTAATTGATGGTAACATCAAAATAAGAAAGGGAATGATTGGTGTCAAAACAGAATTTTCGCATGCTAAGGAAATTAAGGTGATTTCAGTACATAGTGTTATAAATGGAGGATGTTAAATTTGTAAACCACATGTGTAGCCTTAAAGTATATAAATCTACTCACCAAAGTAAAGGGAAACCAAGACTCACTAAAATAAAAGGAGAAAAATCTATTTTCAAAAACTCAATACTGATGATAAAAAGGAACAAAGAAGACAACAACCTCATTAAGACAAAAAAAGTATAACAAAGTGACAGAAGAATATTCTAATTTATTGATAATTATAGTGAACATAAATGGATTAAATGATCCAATCAAGAAACATTGTGACAAAATAGGCTTTCAATATGACCCACGCATATGTTGTCTAAAAGAGGTATACCTACAACATACAGACATCATAGGTTAAAAGTCAGGATGGGGGAAAATAATATTAAGCAAACAGTAATAAAAAGGGAGCAGGAGTGGAAGTATTACAGAATAAAAGGATCAACGAGTCACGCAGCCTGAAAACTGAAATTTATAAAGCAAACACTTAGAATTAAAGGGAGAAGTACATCTATAAAATGGTTGGAGGTTTTAATACACTACTTTTTGAGGGACAGAACAACTAGAAAGAAAGTGAATGAAGAAAGAAGATCTGAATAACCGCAGACATGCCCCCTGCCTCAGTAGTAGTACAGTATACACTGTGCTACAGTAGATATGTGTCTCAAATAGACTAGCTTACAGCTGAAAGTTTCAATACATTTTAAAATCTTGTAACCAAACAAACCATCTTCTCTGACCATAATAGGATGAAGAAAAACAAAGTCAATAAAGACTAATAATGAAAAGTAAATAAAAATTCATGGACGTTAAATGACCCTACTAAAATACCAGGGGGTCATGGAAAAATAAAAAGAGTTAAAAAGCTACTTATAATTATGAAAGTGATAACACAACTATCAAAACCTTAAGTAGTTGTGAAACACTGCTTAGTCAAATTCAAAGACATAAGAATACCAAGACATTAATTTCTGTTTTTACTATGTTGCTATTTGCACTCAAGGTACAAAAACATTGAGTAAACTGCTAGAATGTTAGCCCAAGCCAAATATTGTAGTCAAAATTTAACATATGTATCTATGCTTTTCCTTTAAATGACAGTTTCACTTAAGAGTGTAGTTGATGAAGAAGTAATTGTATTACATTTTGGCCCTAGAGAACACATCTCTTTTTTAGACTCCTGTGTGACCAAATGAGAGGGACAGCTACTGTGCTTTGCTGCACATCCAAGTCTGATAGCGTAATTGCAGATGTGTGACTGAGTTATGAGTAGACCTGGCCACTCTTCTCAGACCATTTTTGTTTGAAAGAATGACTAACAAACAATGGCTTTTTAAAGTTAAACATTTTTCCGACATTTTCCCAAATGAATATTGTCACTTCAATAAACAACTGACAATATTTATTGCCATGACAAAATGCAAGCTTTTATGCAGAAATCAGGATTATGGAGAACCATGAACTTGAGAGCCTCTCACCAGATGAGAGGTGGTGACATTGATAAATCTGAACTTTTTGATATTGTTTATTTTCATATGCCAACTTCAGAAGTTCTGTAATACTTGGTGAAGCAATTATTTGCAAATGGTATTTCATTATGCATAGCTAAAAATCCATTCTCTGTAAGAGAGACCAGTCTATTTTAATGTAACAGTATAAAAAGTTTGTTACCGTAGTTTGAGTCTTCATTTTAGTTATCTTTAAGACAGGTTTTGCTGTAGTATCAAAGAAATGCATTGTTACCTGAAACTGTATTATAATCTTCATTTTCTCTTTAAACCAAAAAATCCCCTGAAGCCTTAAAACCAAACCATTTAACTTAACTCGGTAAGAATGTCAGCCTGAGCATTTTGCTCTTTTAAGAACTGTATGGGATCAAATTGACAACAGGAATTCAAAAGATTAGACAGGAACCTTATTGGAGCACTGAGTTTCTTAATTGGGGAAGAACGATTCAGAAGAAGTTAAGAGTGTTTGTACAACTCAAAGAATGTAATCAGTGTTACTAAATTGTACAGGTAGAAAATTGGTGTATGTCTTGCTGTGTATTTTTTCAACAAAATGAAATTATAAGATTTCTTTTTAATTGAAAAAAGAGAAAGAAAATCTAAAGTCCTAATATTAAATTGGAAATATCAATATTTTTCTAAAGTATTCTCTCTATAAAACAGAATGAGTCCTGCTGTGGCGCTGTAGATTAATGCACTAGACTGTCAAATTGGTTTGAACTGCAAGGTTCGCAGTTCAAGCTTACTAGCAGCTCCTTGGAAACCCTATACAGGGTCACTATGGATCGGAACCGACTCAATGGCACTTAACAACAACACAACAGAACGAAACATTTTTTCCTTATTCTGTCCACAGGAAAGTCCAAGCAAGAAACAATGACTAACTGGCAACAAAACCCCTTTAGCACTCAGACTGAAGCCTCTAGATACCACTTTTCAACTAAAAAATCACTAGGACCACTTAAAGAAAAGACTGATCCCATGTCTGAGGTAGAAAATGTTCCTGATGAGCCAGGAATAATTCCTCTTATAGAAAAAATGCTTTCTAAATTACAAGGAGTATATCAAAATTAAGCAGGAGTCAATTTAAAGAGGTTCTCAAGGCCTAAAGTGGGACAATTTGGGCATAATGACTGCAATGGGTTGAAGTAAATTAAATATGTCAAAATCTGTGTCTTCATAATGTACTTGAAAATAAAGACTCATAAGTCAAGTTTGCAAGATGCAAGGAATTAACTCATTCTGAACACCAATAAAAAAAAAAAACCAAAAAAACCTGATTTTTGCCTTTTCTAGAAAAGAAAGAGTAACAAAACTGCTGTAAGGAAAAGTACTGATTTTTAGGAAAACTACAACAAATGAAACAATGATTCAATTATCACCAGTTTGTAACTCTAATGAAATAACCAGTCCTGGTGTGGCACTTTAGCACTCGACCTCATGGTTGCTTTGAAATGCAAAGGCAGTGGTTCAAACTCACCAGCCACTCCTTGAAAGCATACAGGGTCACTATGAGTGAGAACCGATTCCACAGCACTTAACAACAACAACAACAATGATCATTAATGGCTGCTAAAAAGATTAGGTGAAAGGCTAATGAAAAATCTCATGTTGGCTCTTCCAACACCTGACTCCACTGAGCAATCTTAACATCACCAAGAGAGACAAGATGACATTCCTAAATCGGTTAAGCCTTGGACTGCTAACAGAAAGGTTGGCGGTACAAATCGATCAGTCACTCTGCAGGAAAGTAAGGCTGTCTGCCACCATAAAGACTTACAGTCTCGGAAACTCTAAGGAGTTTCCCTTATGGTCACTAGTGGAATCAACTTGATGGAAGTTGGTTTGGTGTTTGTGGTTTTGGTTTAATGGGATGCACCACGAAGTTCACCTGCACAGTAACTCTAAAGTACTTCTGCCAATCCTCTCCAACATTCCCCACCAAAAAAACCCCACTGAATTGAATTTGCTTAACCTACTAGATCAAATTAACAGTTTACAGGAAATACATGGGTTAAAGAAACATGTTAAACACCACCAGCAAAATCCAGAACCTGTTAAATTCCATGTAACTAATGACCTATTTCTTCAGCAAATAAAAGGCAAGGGAAAAAAAAAGAAGAAAGGGGTTACCAGCTGCTATAAATTAAAAGAGACTTTTGTTTGGATACCAATTCAGATTGGAAAAAACAAAAAACAACTATGAAGGAATCAATGAAAATGTAAATTTTAATTCAATATATGATCATATTAATTAATTTTTAAAAAAAAAAAAAAAAAAATAATTTCCCCCCAAAATTTATATTAATTAATTTTTAAAAAAAAAAAAAAAAAAATAATTTCCCCCCAAAATTTATATTAATTAATTTTTAAAAATATATGATAATGTTGACGTTTTTGTTTTTTAAGGAGTCTTTATCCTTTATCTTTAAATCTCTAAGGAGTCTTTATGCTGAGTTGTTTACAAATGAGATGGTGTGATGCCTAAAATTTGCTTTAAAATAATTCAGCACTAGGGAGGGGGTATAAAACCAAACGCCAAATGCACTGTTATCGAATCGATTCCAACTAATAGCGACCTGGTATAGGGTTCCTGAGCCTGTAAATCTTTACAGAAGCAGTAAGTGTCATCTTTCTTTCACAGAACACATAGTAGGTTTGAAATGACAACCCTGTGGTTAGCAGTCCAATGCTTATCCTACAGCTCACACAGACCAAATGAAATTATTCATTGAAACTGGATGATGGATGAGCAACAGTTAAGTAAGCTATACTTTCTACATCTATAAGAGTTTAAAAATTCTCACACATGCATACAAAAGAGGAACTGACTTTTAAAATCCTTTCCTAAGATTAGAATTTGCTTCTGATTTCTAGCTAAATCATTTAGACAGGGTCCTGGTGTGGCACTGTAGGCTAATCACTGGACTGCTACCTCCAAGGTTGACAGTTTAAATCCACCAGCCACTCCTTGGATCCATAGACAGGGTCAATATGACTCGGAATCAACTCAGCAGCACTTAACACCACCAACAAATCAGTTAAACAGCAGCTCAGAAAGCTCTCTACAATTTGAAAAGATCCAGGCTTAAAATTTTTTGCTTACCTCCACCAATTTAGAAGCTAAGTACATGGAAATTGTCGTGCTCTTATAAAACATCATTGATATACCTGCCAAAAATCCTGAAAAAAGAAGTCAGGCAAAAACTGATCAGATTTCAAAGTACTGTCTTGTTTTTCAATTATCTGAATATGCTAATCACTTCACTTAAATAAGAAGAAAGCACACTGGTACTTGTTAAAAATCCATTTAAACATAGTAACATACTTTATGATTTTAAAATAGGTGAATCGGCATTATTATATATTTTTAATTAAATTGACCTGCGTTAGGAACCAAAACTTTCTATATACGTATTATAAGATACTTAATATTTTAAGTTAATCTTAACACACACACACAAAACAGTGGTCTTATCAAATATAATCACTTAAATTATTTTTATTATTTTAAGGTTTTTATTGTGAATTGAGTAAAAGTTTACAGGGCAGATCATATGTTTTATATTCAACAAATCATACACCCTGTTTAATTATAATGATTATAATCCCCTCCATGTACCAACAGTTAACAGTATTTGTCTCTATCCACTTTTTAAAAAAAAACAAAAAAAACAAAACAAGAACACTCAGGCATATATATTAATTTACACCACCAAAGGGCACATTCTACAAGTCTGCCTCCTGGCCTCCAGCTCTTAGTCCCTTCTCTTCCCATGAATCTAGCAGCCCCTCCCTCTCTCCATGTCCCCATCTCTGCCTCCATCTCCGGTGTCACTGGTTGTGCTCTTCTCCCCTGATGGTCCTAGGGCCCTCTGTTTTTGGACTGTAAGATTAACCACTCCCCTGTTTTTGTTACAAAATGTCTACCTTTACAACTGTGACCGTTGCAATTAGTCATGACAACAATTACTCACTATTGAATCTTACGAATCTTATCCCCATCTTTTTTCACCAGACCCATCTAGACAAGATGAAATCTATCCAGTGAGGACTCTTTCTGTCCCCCTAGACTCTTAAATTAAACTCCCTCTTGAAACCTTGTAAGCCAGTCACTTTGTGCCTTTATTGTCCCCTCATTTTAGGTAGCCAATGTCTAAGTTGCC